GCCCTTTTCATTCATTTCTCATTGAAAGATTGAAAAATTGAAAGATGGCATATTATTACTTTAAGATGTACCATCTTCTGGCTCTGTACCTGATCTCATGTGTTGTTCCTCTTTCCTTAGCACAAGACTTCAATTTGCCATTCAAAGCTGTGAATCTTGGGAATTGGCTTGTTACAGAGGGTTGGATGAAACCTTCTCTCTATGATGGCATTCCCAACAATGACCTTTTGGTATAGTTTTATTTTGCTTAGAGCTACTGCATTCATCACAAAAAAGTATATCTTTTTTTATTATTTTTTTATTTTTTGGGTGTGATTTCGTTTTACAGTTTTGCTTTTCTCTACTAAAACCACAAATAATCTGAACTATTCCCTACCGAAAAAATATAGTTCAAAGTTTTTTATTTTGAAATCATTTGCAGGATGGAACACAAGTTCAATTCAAGTCCACAAAGCTGCAGAAGTATATTGCACCAGAAAATGGGGGTGGCAGTGGTTCCGTTGTTGTTGTCAACCGCGATTCGGCCTCTGGTTGGGAAACTTTCAGGGTATGCTCTTCAAGCCAACATTAATGCAGCACTACCAAAAGCCAGATATTGAACATTATTTACCAAAAACTAAATAAGTAAATTTAACTCCATAGGTTTTTTTCATGTGTAATGCAGTTGTGGAGGATTGATGAATCGTCTTTCAATTTTAGAGTGTTCAACAAGCAGTTTGTGGGATTGTCAAACCAAGACCAGGGAACCGGCCTAATTGCAGTTTCAGATTCACCTGGAAACACCGAAACATTTCGGATTGTAAGGAATGATGGTGATCGAAATAGAGTTCGCATTCAAGCATCCAATGGTTTATTTCTACAGGTGATTGTTTCCTCTGGTAGCATTGAGCACCAAAGTTCAATTTATTTGTCACATATATACATATGAAAAGGAAAAGTGACCAACAAGTCAATCTCATGAAAATCATACTTTTCGTTGTAATTAGGCAACATCAGAGACACAATTGACTGCAGATTATGGAGGCTCAGGTTGGGAAGATGATAATCCATCTGTCTTCATAATGACAATATTAAGTGACAAGACCTTAAGAGGTGAATACCAAATCACAAATGGCTATGGTCCAGATAAGGCTCCTCAAGTGCTGCAGGTAAGATTCATATGATTTTCGACACGAAAAAACAAAACAATATTGTTTTCATGCAGCAAATCAGAGGTAATCAAATTGAATTTATGCTTAACAGGATCACTGGAACAGTTACATCACCGAAGACGATTTCAGGTTCTTATCATCGAACGGCTTGAATGCGGTGAGGATCCCAGTTGGATGGTGGATTGCAAAAGATCCAACACCACCTAAGCCTTTTGTTGGAGGCTCCTTGCAAGCCCTGGACAATGCTTTCACATGGGCACAGTAAGAGTAGTTGCAACTTGTTATAAAGTTATGTTACACATAAAACAGAGAGA